AGTCGCCGGCCTCCGCCGGCGGGGAGGCCGGGGGCAGGGCAGGGAGGCGGCACCAGCCCTTCTGCAGCGGCGTGGGGGAGCGGCTTGGGGGGAGAGGGGCGCCGGCAGCGGCGCAGACTGGAACACATTGTGGGAAGCTCCTTGTGAACGCGAGGGAAAACTTCTTTCCCGTGAGCAGCGGAGCAGGTTGCCCAGAGAGGTTGTGGGGTCTCCTTCACTGGAGATGTTCAGAACCCGCCTGGACGCGATCCTGGGCACCGGGCTCTAGAGGACCCTGCTTGACCGGGGGGTTGGACTGGATGATCTCCAGAGGGCCCTTCTGGCGGGGCCGTTCTGTGTGGTTCTGGGGCGGCAGGACCGCTTAGGGCGACAGTAAGGTGTCTGTGGAAGAATAACTGGTGAGCAGGTTGCTAGTTGGTGGCTCTGCTTCGAATAAGTCTATTGAAACAGGTTATTGTTAACGACAGTAGTTTTTCAATATAGCCTTTACAACTCGTGCGCTGAGGCTGTTTCTTGCAATGGTATGAAGTTACTTTAATGTTGCAGGAATGCGTTCCAGTTGCAGAATGACAATAGTTAATTAAGTTTGTATGGCATCAGACATTTATATTGTGCACATGTATTTCTGAAGCAATGTTCTTCTGAGCGTTATTGGTTCTATGTGTCTTTGCAATGATAATTGTGTTGATGTGCGTGATAGGTCAGCTAAATAGACTGGCTGCACTCCAGATAGTAGCGAATCGCATGTAAAACACTTGTTATGTACAGAATACTATCGCTATCCTAAATTCTGATCTAATATCTGCTCCAGATACAGGTGAAGGTCTTCCCGTGTGATAGCCTTAAGGAAGGCTATCACAAAAGCCAACAAACTTGTGTCGGTTTGGCGCCTTAATGAAATGTCTTCTGAGTTAACTTTCTGTAGGATTAGTGAGTTGTACTGGCTCATGAGAGACTGTACAAGTGCCAAAGCAAGCGTGCAGTAAGCAGCAGGAGCGTGGGGAATATGAACTAGGAACTTCCTCCTGCTGCTGACAGGGAGTGTTAGCTTTGCTCAAGCCTTAGTTTTACAGTCCTTGGGTTAATGATGTGGCCATTTTAGAGCTTGCGTGTTATTAGTACAGAGGTGGTTTTGCTTCTTGCAGTTCCCCTGCATGTTTCTTAACAAAACCATCTTAGACTTTCTCTTTTTTAAATGAAGTAACAGAGAGTGAGGATTTGATGGTGTGATAGTTGTAGTAGGTGGCATTTTGAGGCACTGGTTTACTTCCCTCACCGTTCAAAGTAAGGAAACGAGAGCATGTTTTCTAACAAATACACTGTTTATCGCTTGTTGCGGGATATTTTTATTGCTACTGGCTATATGTAAAACCTGAGATGTTTTTCTCCTTGGGTTTCATAGAAATCTAGGACTGGATGGGACCTCAAGATACCCTCTAGTTCAGCTTCTTGAGCTGAGGCGCAACCGTATTTTCCTAGACTCCTGCTGATGGATGTTTTCTCTAGCGTTCTTAAAAACTTTATGTGCTCTTGTATTCAAATCAGTGGCTAGTGTCACTTGTCTGGGTTAAATAGACCCAGATCTTTAAGTTACTGTTTTAGGGTATGTTTTCTAACCCTGCTCCTATTTATGGAGTAGTCCCAGATTTTCATCATCTTGTATCTTTCTGGAGTAACCGGAGAACTGAAGGCGTTTTCCCACTTTGGCAGAAAATGCTGCTGTTTCTGTGCTTGAGAGTCTTCAGCCTGTCAGAATAGAAATATCCAGGAAGTGTATATTCCCTGTTGGCCTTGGTGGTGCAGAGTTGTGAGGAGGGAAAGGGCATGATGGGTGCTGTGGGTCTAGTTGTTTGTATATAAGCAGATTCGGGAATGACAGGCCTGTGCCTGTACATTTGGAGAATTAGTTGTTTCCGAGTAGAACGGTGACTGATGTCCTTTGGGTGCCATCAGCAGCTCCTGGTGCTAATGATCCTCTGCTCTTCTCTCACAGAAAGTGTTTATCATGTTGGGCTCTGGGTTCAAGGCTGAGCGCTTGCGAGTCAACCTGCGCCTTGTTATCAATCGCCTCAAGCTGCTGGAGAAAAAGAAGAGTGAGTATTTGTGGGGGTAGGTGTGAGTCAGGCTGGTTTGGAGGTTCAGGAGACTGTAGAGAAGATGTTTCTGGGGTTGGAGAAGTTTAATGGGACAAGCGTGGAGCAGCCTTTTGCTTTTCCTTTGCCCTGCCTGGACCCAGGCCTTGCAGTCTTCCCTGGTGTGTGGTCCCTGGGGGAGCAGGCTGGCTCTGAGGGGTTTCCATCCACCTGCCCAGCAGCTGTTGGAGTGCAGCTGACACGGTGTGTGGGGTGGCAGCTGGGGGCTCTGTGTGAAGGGATGTCCTGGTTTGCCCACAAGGTCCTTCCCTGGCCCATCTGTACCACAGCACAGAGAGGAGCTTGCAGTGTGCTGAGGAAGGCCCTCCCTGCCTGTGCTGTCCTGCCCTGATCAGACACAGATAAGAGGGTTACCCGTGGTTCTGGATGACTCTGCAGTAGAGCTGAAGGTGCAGGAGCATTCCTGGCAGCTAAAAGCGCGCTCTCCTTTCTCTTGTGAGTTAGTATGCTAGGACCGAGACACAAGGACTCCACAAAGCCGCGGCCACGTGTCTCACGCCACAGAGGTGCGGTGAAGGAGAGAGAGAGAGAGAGAAACTGGCGATGGATTTGGGTGTCCAGGGAGTGTGGGCAGGGGTGGAGGCAGCAGCCCCTGCCAGCACAGTGACTAGCCTTGGGGATATGTGCTGTAGCTGAGTTGGCCCAGAAGGCGAGGAAGGAGATTGCAGATTATCTGGCAGCCGGGAAAGATGAGCGTGCCAGGATTCGTGTGGAGCACATCATCCGAGAAGATTACCTCGTGGAGGCCATGGAGATCCTGGAGCTGTACTGCGATCTGCTGCTAGCCCGCTTTGGCTTGATTCAGTCCATGAAGTAAGCTCTGGCCTAGCGGGTATGCTGTGGTAGAGGGGCCAGGCCCTCTGGGCCCAGGGAAGGGTAGTGCTGGGGGCAGGCCTGGGATACAGAAGGGCACCTGTGTTTGCCTCAGTGTCCCAAGGCTTTGGGAGACCTTTTTTTTCCTCAGGCAGGGAAGACTGGAGCCCAGCCTGAGGATGGGGACTTTGAGGCTGAGCAGCTTGAGGGCTGCAAGGACTAGGTACTTGGTGTGGAGATGGGGTTGTCTTGTTCTGTCCCTAGGGAGTTGGACTCCGGCCTGGCAGAAGCGGTATCTACGCTGATCTGGGCTGCACCACGACTCCAGTCGGAAGTGGCTGAGCTGAAGATTGTGAGTAGGGCTGTTTGAGGGGTGTTACGGGTGCAGGGTGGGGGTGACACTGCCGGAAAGCGGTGGAAGCTGTCGTCCAGGACTCTACTGAGGCAAAGGATGTATTTCCCTGGGCTCTGCAGGCTCAGACCCCAGCCTGGGTGCCAGTTCCATGAGGAGCCCTGGAGTCTCAGAGGTGGCTACAGCTGCTCATTTGGGGCGCTTGGTGGCAGAAACAAGGGGGAACTGGTAGGGCAAGGCTGCCAGCATTGCAGCAGATGTGGGGAGTGTGGCAGGGCAAAACAAAGGTATACAGTTTCCCAAAGTTTCTCTCCTGCTGCAGGTTGCTGACCAGCTGTGTGCCAAGTACAGCAAGGAATATGGGAAGCTGTGCCGGACAAACCAGATTGGGACAGTCAATGACAGGGTAACAAACTGGTGGAGCAGCCACAGCCAGCTGGAGTGGGCAGTCCAGGCTTACCTGCTGTGGCTGTCTGAGCCTTGTCGCCGTGGCAGGGGCTGTGCCTGTGGCGCAGTGCACAGTGGGGTGGGCTAGCTGTCCTGCTGAGGGCCTGCGTGCCTGGAGCACAGGAGGCTG